ATTTCTTTTCATTACACATATTGGCGGTAAGTTTAATATTTCTAATATTTGCAATGATAACAGATTTTTTTAAGCAATAAAAATAAATTAGCAAAAAAAATTACCTGTAAGAAATACAAAAATCCATATTGTAAAATCATGCAAATATTTCTATTTAAAGAATACAATACAAATATAAATGTTATTAAATCCTATGTTCAAGTATTTGTGGATATTTAACAGTTAAGTACTCAAAATCAACACAATTTGACCAAAATGTTTTTCCAGAAAGAAATTAACATATCAGTCTATCAGATTCACAGAATGCTTTTGCATTTACACTATCTTCAGATATTAAATTCCAGAAGATGGATGATATAAATCAAATGTGCTCGAGCAAATATGACGGTTTTTTTGCTGTATAAAAATATATTTTAATGAAAGTATACAATTGAGAAGCTTTGTGAAAATTAAGGTTCATTATTATTTATGTTAAAATTCCCATATACATTGGACAGGTTTGATATGATATAATAAAATTATATATATATTAATTAAACACACAAAAACACAAACAGTATTAAATAGAACTTATAACAATTTATGTTCTCCTACAACCTTAAAACTTATGCAAATTGGATAAATAAAAGCAATGAAGAATTGTTTCTAAGATAACCATATTATAAATATGATATAATTTTCTACATAAACATCCCTAGACTAAGCCAGAATAACTATTACAATATCAGAATAATGTATGTTCCATTATATTAAATTTAACATAGATGGATAGCCTCTATCAAGCAGATGTCATACAAGCATAATTCGTAATCACATTGTTGACATTTATTAAGTTTTCATATATCTGCATGCAAAAATATCAAATATTCAATGCACACAGTTTATATAAAAAATGAATGAATCAGAAGACATCATTCTCAGTGTACAGCATTACAAATGTATAATGCAAGTTGTTCTAAAATTTTTTAAAAAGAGAAATTATTATAATCAAAGTGATAAAAGTAATAAACTGTCTTTGGTGTTATGAACTTTAGAAATAATCAGAACTTACAAAACAGTAGTGCATGTTAGTATTCGCTACTAATATTTTATATTTAAGGATTTTTTTTATTTTGACTCTGTCTTGTGGGCACTATGCAAGTCTTTTAATCATACTCATCATGGGATTGACCAGATCACAATGATACCTGAGTGATGAGAGATAGTTTGTCCTGGTTATGTTGGGCTCCATCCTCCAAAAAATTCCTTGATTTATATTTAAGATATATCTAACATTTAGCATAATATATATAAAAAATATATATAAATGGAACAATAGTATATTTCTAATCATATTTAAAGAAATATGAATGAATCATCTATCACCATAACAAAAATAAAATCAATTTATTCAGCTATAAACTAGATTCTGAAAGTATTAACAGAAAGAGTAAGAGCAATGACCCATAGTAGAATTACATATATGGAACTTGGCAAAACAAAATAGATTTATAAATTGTCTGATAAAATTATATTGTGGTGAAAATATTTCAAATTGATTAATACAGACAGGAAAAAAACTTAAAACATATTTTATTATTAAAAAAAAAATATTTTTTGAATAATTTTATCCTTATTAATTTAAGACTACTATTTAAAAATAAGGTCAAAAATGTATAAATATGAAATTCTCATTTTATGAAGTCATCAAAGTTAAGAACAAAAAATATTAAAAAATTATAAAAATGATTATATTTAAATATTAAGATTAAGATTCTCCCAAAAGGTTCTACATTTCAAGCTTCATTCAAGATGTAATTAAATTAAAAAAGAGAATATCTCAAAAAAAAATTTTTTTACATTTTTTTTAAACATTAAAAGAAACTTTGTAAATATGATATCTTCATATATTTAATAAATAAATAAATAAAATTTAAACTTTCAAATAGAATTACTGAGCACTTACACCTAATAGAAGAATTATTTTAGATTACTATATATTATGACTAACATTTTATTCTGAAATTTCCCTAAGGGTAATGGTGTCATCATCATTATAAATATTAAAATGAATTTCTAGTTATTAAATATTTAAAAAAAAATTCTAGAAGGAAAAACTCAAAATAGCATATAAAATTTTCTTATCACTCTTTAACAATCTTAATCATAATACAGTATATATAACTCAATGATATGTATAGTACATAGAGTCAAGTTGTGTATAATTTTTAGAATTAAAAGACTTAAAATAAATCTGGAGCAGGATATGAACCTGTAACTCCTGCATACTGGCCAGGCATGTCTTACCAGTTGTGTTATCAAGACCTCTAGACTGATCTTGCTTCTAGACATTAATCAGTGTTTTTATATAGTAAATACAAATTAAGTAATAATTTAAGGTTATACTTGGTAATATAATTCAGGCTTCATATTATATTATTACATGAGAATTTTAAACATTTTAAAAACAGATTTTAAAATAAATCAAAATTTGAAATGTATACAAATCAAAAAGGTTTATTGATTTTTTTTTAAATTTTCTAACTCTTCAGTAAACAATTGCCCATTGAAGAATTATATGAAAACTTCACTTTTAAATTATAATTCCTTGTTAAATTGGCTGTAATAAATCAAAACTACTGATTAATACAAACGACTTTCAACATTATACAACGTTGTACAACGGATTATAAGCGAGTTCGAAAGATTTAAAAAACAGTTATTCGTACTAAGCGTTCGATTTACGATTATGTCGTTTATTTTGTTACTTAGTTAATTTTATTTTCTTGAGAAAGGTCTTTTAATAAGATCGAAAACGTTTGAAAGTCGTTATAATAAAGCGTCGGCTGCAAGAAAAGGTGTTTTAGTAAGTGTTTTGATATTATGCAGTCTAGAAAGAATTCCTTGTCTCTTAGTACTCTTGGAGCAGAAAGAGGTCTACAGAAAGGTTACAATCAATCTATTCAATATTTTCTTGTTTAATTGC